TAATCAGCAGACAAAGGATGGGGCTCAGGACCTATTAGGCTGAAAGGAAGTGTTACTATTGTTACAGGCACTAGGAATGCATGCAGACATGCCTTAATGTTGAACTGGTTAAGGGAACTATGTACGTCTTTTTGCTAAACCAGTTTTCCTGCTTATTCCAGTACTTAGGAAAGCTTCATGTAGCACTGCCTATTAAAAACTTGAGACTGTATCTGAGGTTTTGTTAGACTATATAGGTTGCTTAGAGCATTCTTTCACTGCAATAATAGCAACCATAGGGTTTATTTAAAAAAAAAACTGGCCAAGGAGACCTAAGACATCCTTAGCTGACCCTCTGTCATCAGAAAGTAGTCCTTGAATGGAGGAGACCAATAAAGTTTAAATCAGCCATTGTGCTGTCAGTCAGTCATACTCTGCATGTTTGTCTTCATAAAGTGAACCTTGTTTGTTCTGAATGGCAGTACTTTCAATGAATGTAAATATATGCAAATAATCATAATAGTTTAAAAATGGCAGCTGCCATGGAAACAAATGGTTCTTCCTGCATTTCTGTACTCCTCTTCCAACTTGCATTAAATCACTTAGTGCTTAAAATACACAAGTTATCCAAAATTAAAATATAAATTTTTTCTCTTTTGGCTCCAGATCAGAATCTTCATATTGTTCTTTCCCTCTGAAAAAAAGCATATAAAAGATCTTGTGTGAATCCTGTGAAATGTTGTGATGTGATTATACAGGAAAATGCTTTATCAATAAAACAGTGCCCTGGAGTCACTCTTAGTTCTAGTAAGTATTGCTTCAAATAGAGCGCTCTTCCTATTCTTAAGTAAAACACACGTTTGGCATGAAAAAGCAACAATTAAAATAACTTTTGAGGGGGGGAAGAAAAAGAGAATCAGACTTAATTAACTTATCCTGAGTCCAGTGTTTTGCTCAAAACAGAGTCATTTGTACTGTCTTTTTTGTATTAATAAGTCTGTAGCTTTATCTTCCCTCCTGGTATTCACATCAGCAGCAAGTAATGTTAGAAAAATAACGTCTCTCAGGCTTTATATTAACGATTCAATTATTCTGTATAATTAGCCTGATTTGTTAAATATTTGAAACATTTCTACTCTGAGGTAAGGAACAGCATACTGGAATGATCAGAACTACAAATGACTTGTACCTTTACTCAGAAAATCCTTCTTATCAAATAATAAGGAAGATTAAGCCTAAGTCTCTTTCTCTCTCCTTGTTTGGTTTTTATTCCCATAAGAAATATCAGTTTTGCCCACAATCTCTCATATATTTCCATTCCCTTGAAATACAAAGAGTCAATGGATTCTGGTATAAATTAGGTAAATTTAATGAAATATATGGGTCATAACTTGTGCCTTGAATATAAAATACTTGACTGAAGCATAAGTATATTTATTGTTCAAGCTAAATATTACCACTAGTCCTAGTTTTTTTTCCATTCTTCAGCAACTGTTCATGCAGCATTTAGGGGATGTGGAATCTTGGGAATACCATCTGTAGACTGAATGCCACAAGTCTGCAGGAAATCTCTCTAAGGTCACATTTCTCATTACTTTTCCTTGCTTTAAGGAAACAGGAGCGATCCACCCTGCACATTGAGAAAATAATCCTACTTCCACTCTCTGAATCTGCGTCAAACATGATTTCTTCTCCTCTTATGAACCAAACCCCACCCCCAACCCCCAAAACAGCTTGCAAACATATATGGGATTTTTAATGGGGACTTTGAGGCCATTGGAAAAGTCATCGCTCCAGTCACATTACATAGCACCATGATGTGCTCTCTGTACAGGCAACACTTTCCCCCTTAGTATTATTATGTATGCCAGATTCTATTGTATGAGCCAGATGACCTGGAGAAGGGCTTGAGTAATCCCAAATTCACTGAATGGTTGGGAGGATGACATTAATGCTGATCGCCTATGAATATGTAATACTATGGCTGAATGTAAGTTAAGATAGATAAAAGTGTAATGCTATGCAATATGTGAAGACTGAAAACAGCTCCTTTAAAACTTTCTTAAACAAAAGTCATTATTTTCTGAACCAATTTCAGTCCGACTTACAGTCTAGCAAAGCAGAATGCTGGATCAGTTGGGGTAAACTGTCTCCTAGGGTTTGGATGCTCAACTGCATGACCTGTTTTTCTTTTTTCTGAAAATAGAAGGGGATGCATGCAACACATCTGAACCTTTGCATGCCTATTTGGTTGAAAATTAAGATTCTGTAAGATTTCAAACGTGGAACAAGTGTACGAGATGACGACTAAAACTATAGTTAGTACTACGTTTGAAATCATATTAGCCTCAAAAAATATCTGTTGCAGCCTTCCTGATTCTTCTCAAAAAGTAGTAACATAGTGACTATTGTGACCTTTTCTGAATGTTACTCTGTTGTTAAACTTTATTTGTACTTATACTTTGGATAGCAGTTCTGCTTGGATGCTTCATTTTGTGGATCAAGATCTGGACCTGCTCAATAAAATGTCAGTTCCTGCCCCAAAGATCTCAGGGTCAAATTTTTAAAGATATGCAGGTGTCTGCTAATGTATAGAGGCATCTAGATTTAAGTTCAAAAAAGGATTTGATGCCAAATGGAGGACTGAAGGGGCATTTAAACATTTATGTCTAAAATTGTAGTCCTAAAAATGCCTACTCAGCTACTCTCTAACCTTAAAAGCATTTAAACCAGTGATTCCTAAAGACAGTGGGTGGCAAGACTCCCCCTGTGTGAGGAGGTAAATACCCCCCTCCCCTGTCCCACACCTTGTGCCTGCCCCAGCTACTTTAGCAGCATGTGCAAGCGCTCTTCTGGGTACTATTACCACTGCTGCTGCCTTTTCCTTTCTTTCCTTTCTCACCCTCCTTCTCCCCCAGGCAGACCCCACCGCCTCCGCATGATCCCAGCAGTGCACTTTGCTGCAAGTTGGTGGGCAGGCAGACACACATAGTCATGCTTTGCAGCCTGGTGCATCCCCTCCACTCATCCCATGCTCCAGGGCTGGCAGTTGGGGCTGTGGGGTGGTTGTGTGAGACCCTATAGGAGCAGCCTTAGGGGTCCGGTGGGGGCAGACAGTGGAAAGAACAAGGCACAGCAGGGTGAGGTTCTGCTTGCTGCCATTAAGTGGTGCCAGCTAGATCAGCGTTTCTCAACATTTTTAGCCTCAAACACCCCTCCCTCTCTTTTCTGAATTTAGGTGTATCAGTGATTTTCAGTTGGGGTGCAGCAAAATTCAGAAAAGTTATGGAGGGGGGCCTTGAAGCTAATAAGCTTGAGAACCACTGACCTGAGCTCCTCCATGCTTATATTAAGCATTTGGTATACCAAGAATGTTTGCTGGGGTGGAGAGAGGTTACTTCCTGCTGTATGTCTGTCACCTATAGCAGGTGTTAGTGAACAAGGTGTTGTAGAGACAGAAAGCTTAGGATGGAGACAAGAGTCAAGTTATTGCAGTGAGGGCTGAGGGGAGGTGGGGAAGGACATCCAAGTATCTTCAGGATTGAATAAGGAAGTTCATAGAGATCAGACAAAGCAATGAGCTGCATAGGTATAATGAGCAGGGTTTGCAGTCTGAGCACTGGGCAGGAGAAAGTTCTGGGATGAAGTCCAGAGTCTTACCTACACCAGACACTTAAAAACAGTCTTCAGCTGCTGCTGTTACAGCTGCAGTGTGATTTGCCCACCCTGGCTGTTGTTCCTACAGCAGCCACAGGGCTGCTTTTGTTGCTGGGGCATGGACTCCAGGGCGGTGGTGGGGTCACAATTCGGTGCCCCTACTGAGTTGGTGCCTGAAGCTGGTGGCCAGGAAGGTTTGTGAACTAACCAGGGATATTTATGGCTGCAGCAAATGTGGCCACTGTGGTGCCCCGGCTAAGTGGAGAAGCAGCACCCTTTGAAGTAAAAGCTGTAGCAAACAGCTGTGCAGTTTGCCTTCACTTGGCAGCCTTCTCTGAATGAAGTGGGTTGAGGACCATCTAGATATGAATGACCCAGGCTCTACTGTGCTTTTGGAGCGATTCTGGTGGACCTTGGGGTTTGGGAAGAGCACTCCAGTTTCAGGACTTAGATAACTGGACTGAGGTGTCCCACTGTCTAGGGGGTACACCTGAAGGTTCAAAGTCAAAGAAGTACAATGCCTAAGCTCTCCCTGCTCTGGCGCATGTGGGATTTATTGTTGTGTTTTCCCCACACCATTCTGGCAGAAGGAGCTAAAGCAGATCCCTCCCCTGGCTGCCGCTCTTGCACTGCTTCTTGAGATCAGTTTTCAGGCCCCACATAATTCTCAGTTATCTTTCTTTATGTCTTGCTACATTACCTCCCCTCCTTTCTGCTTGACCAGTCTTGTCAGTCTCCGTGACTTATTTGTCCACAGTCTCCTAACTTTCTTCCATGTAGCCTGCAATGCCTGGAGTGCTCTTTCATGAGGTATGCTGCAGAGCTACTCCCTCTCCTTGTTTAAATTCCTCCTCAAGACCCACTTTTTCATGACATCTGCACAAACCTACTGGCTAAGTCATCTACTAATTTATTTCATTTATTTGTCCTGTCAGTTAACTGCTCATTTATGTGGAGGGAATGGCTTGAGGTCTCCAGGGAAGCTGCTGGCTGTACATGCCTCAACACGATGGCTTCATTTGAGACACTGTGCTAGAGTTGGGAAGAGCAAGGACACTGTCCAAGTTGAAATTATTGAAAACTAACAGTTCCAGGGGCATTGTGACTCCAAAAATATAGTGTTTCTGTTTTAAACTGTACCCATTGTGCAATCAAAATCCCATGCAGCAGGAAATAAGCCAACTACCACTCACACTGTTCTAAAATTATGGGGATAATCAAATGATAAAATCATTTATTTAGCTTCCAATGCTGATTATGCCAAACAAGTTGTGGCCAGTCCATTTCTAAATCAAATCTTGCTTGGGAAGGATAAATTACATGACACCAAACATTTTTTTTCCCACTCCTTATTTTGTTTTCAGCCAGGAAATACATGCCTGTGTTGAAGAACTCTGGTGTGAGTAAACATAATATAGAGCCAGGAAACCTGTATGCAGCAATGATGGAAGGTAAATGTTTGGGGAGAATGTAGGACTTTAAAAATATCTTTGAGAAATACAGTTTTTAAGGGCATTACATTTTTAGTTTGGTTTTACTGTATGTATATTTTAATAATGTGTATTTATACAATGCATATAAAAAATGTATTGATTGTCTTAAAATTCCAGTAATGCGGTCATGATTTAGGCAGACCCCAGCAAACAATGGCATCTGCGTCTATATTTGGACACCTAACTAAAACCAGTGCTGACTTCAGGAGGACTTCTGGGTTCTCAATACCTGTGAATGCTAGGTTACTTTTCTTTACATGCCTAAAGATAGGTGTAGGTATCTAGTTATGGGGATCTACATTTGAATATTTGGCTGCAGTAATTACAACAAAATTGTTATAATTCTCATCCTTTGCAAATATTAGGCAAGAAAGACTAAGAGGAGAAGGATATCATCCCTGAAAAGTTCATGCATGCTATTTTAGAAGAGAAATGAAAAGTGTGTTATAAAGTGAATAATTCTATGTCGTCTAATAGAGGTCTCTCTAGCTATGAGTAAATCATTATTGTCCTGTCTTTCTTCTACTGCTACTTTTACATGTTCATGTGTTAATTGATTTCATTAAATCATTCAAACTCAGGTGGAACTACTTGAGTTAGCTGACCTAGTGTTGATCACAGCTTTCTAGGTGTTGTAGACCAGGCTGTACTGTCATATCAGCTACTGAGTATTCATTCCAGCCCAAGCATGACAGAATTTTGTAATGTAGAAAAGGTGCAAATACTGCCCACAGAACCTAGTACAGGCAAATTAGACATATGGGGGTCTCTGCGAAGGCAAAGAATCCCCCCTACCTGAACTGCATGATGGACAAGTCACGGGAACCGTGGAGGTAGCCTTCCATGCTCTGTGTATGGGATGAGACTAAGGACTGGAAAATCAGTGTAATGGTCAGTCTTCTGGATGACCCTTCTATCTCCTTCTGCCCTCGCAGACAGGAAATATCTAGACTAGTAATCTGCTTGGAGGTGTGTTTTAAATATTTAGGGAGGATAGGCTCTCTCTGGCCTTGTCTATACTTCACGCAAACCTCTAAGAAATATTATTTATACACACACACACACACACTATATATATATATATATATATATATACATATATATATACACACACACACACACACACACACACACACACACACATACACACACACTATATGAACTATAAATATAAACTAAGAAATATAATCACTTGCTTGTCAGCACATAACCTACTCTGTTAGGGTCTGATCACATTGATTGTAGCGCGCTTGTTACATTACACATCTGCACACACACTGTATGTAGCAATGATAAGCAATATGGGTATTTGTGCTTCTATCCCAAGATTTAGAATGCCTCAACTTACTGTGTCAATCTGTGTTTGCATTTACAGGCTATTGCACCACAGCTTAGCTGCTTACTGTTGTGAGAGGAAATGGTCCATTTCTTATTAGTAACTCAGCTGTCATGGCCATGTTCCGTGCTTATAGAATGGTTTGGTATTTCCCAGGTCTGCCAATTTTGGAAATATTCATGAAACAATATGAATACCAGCGATGAATACAATGGAAAGGTATGTAATGCCAAAATACTCTGTAAATCTGATGTGCTCTGATGCGAGCAAGGTGATCCACTCATTAGCAGGGCATCAAGACCTGATGTAGATTATAGATGATCTGTCATGTCCCCTACTGCTTTGGATGATGAAATCCTATCTTGATGTGTGCAAAATGGACAAAAACAGTTTCCTCAAATGATGTTGGAATATGCTTTTGGCTGACTAATGACAAGAGGGTTCTGCTTACTGACCTTTTTGGATTGCAAAATCTTTGACACCATATCCCAAAACGTGTTGGGGCACATTGTGTGCTTTTATAATGTCAGAACCAAATTTGAATGAGGTGCTGGATAACACAGT